CAGCACGCTGGCTGCCATCATAGTGGAGTGGGAAAGCCAGTGAGCTGGCTCCCATAATCTAGATGGCAAAGCCAGCACGCTGGCTGCCATAGTATTCTTATATAGATGTATATATGTATGTATAGATAGTAGGTGGCAAAGCCAGCATAAAGCAGATGTTCATGAAATTGTTTCGTTTCGTGTTCGTGGCTCAAGCAGAGAGACCGCAGCAATTTCCAAGTGAGTTCGCGCAAGTCTCCACAGACTGTAGCCGGGAACGTACAGCAAGGCAAGAGTCGTGAAGAATGTACTTGCAAGAAGTTTCAACACACCTCAGAAGCTTCTCGTCAAGAGGCGCGCGGACCATGGCCAGTCTGCAGGACGCAGTTCTGCGAAACGCGGAGGCAGCGGGTCAGCAGGAGCAAGAGGCACAGCGGCTGCGAGACGGACACCGGGAGGGAGGCGCGGCGTGGTTGCGGACCGAGTTGGAGGCCAAGAACCGCGCCGACTTGCGACGGCTGTGCGCTTTGTTGGGGCTGCCGCAGCAGCGCGACGGCACAGCCCTTCGGAAGGAGCAGCTGCTGGAAGCCGTAGTGGATAGCTTCTCATCGCAGGAGGGATGGAGTAAGGGGATGGGCGTAGTGTTTAGTGCAATTTTGCGCGCAAGCTGTTTGTGTTGAAGTGAGTGTTGGCTAGACTGGATAGTGGAGAGCTGCTCTTCGCAGGGAGGGTTGTGTTCGGGGATGGGTGTCTGCTTTTGGTGTCCATGCAAAGTCCCTGACAGGAACCGGCACATCCGAACGTTGAGGATGGTTTTGAGAAAGACATCTAGATATAAGACTTTCAATCTTTGTTCAGATACCCAACAATCTTTGTTAAGATACCCAATTTGTGTTAGGGGATGGGTGCAGTGTACAGTTCAACTTATTTTCTTGTGCTCCAATAGGTGTCTGCTTCTGATATCCCTGCAAATTCCCATACAGGAAGCAGGGCAGCAGGAGCCAGAGGTGCAGCGCCTGCGAGAGGGACACGGAGAGGGAGGCGCGGCATGGTTGCGGACCGAGTTGGAGGCCAAGAGCACTTCCGACCTGCGGCAGCTGTGCGCGAAGTTGGAAGTACCGCAGCAGCGCGACGGCAGAACCCTTCGGAAGGAGCAGCTGCTGGAATCCATAGTGGAGAGCTTCTCATCGCAGGAGGGATGGAGTCAGGGGATGGGCGTAGAGCGGTGTTTAACTTTTCACAGAAGCTGTTTGTGCTGAAGTGGGTTGTGTTCGGGGATGGGTGTCTGCTTTTGGTATCCAAGCAAAATCCCTGACAGGCACCGGCACATCCGAACGTTGAGGACGGTTTCGTGAAAGACATCTAGATATAAGACTTGCAATCTTTGTTAAGATACCCAATTTGTGTTAGGGGATGGGTGCAGTGTACAGTTCAACTTAGTTGAGACGCTGCTTTCTTGTGCTCCAATAGGTGTCTGCTTCTGATATCCCTGCAAATTCCGATACAGGAAGCAGGGCAGCAGGAGCCAGAGGTGCAGCGCCTGCGAGAGGGACATGGAGAGGGAGGCGCGGCATGGTTGCGGACCGAGTTGGAGGCCAAGAGCACTTCCGACCTGCGGCAGCTGTGCGCTATGTTGGGGCTGCCGCAGAAGCGCGACGGCAGAAACCTTCACAAGGAGCAGCTGCTGGAATCCATAGTGGAGAGCTTGTCATCGCAGGAGGGATGGAGTCAGGGGATGGGCGTAGTGTATAGTGTAGCGTGGTGCGCAAGCTGTGTATGTTGCAGTAGGCGTCGGCTAGACTCGATAGTGGAAAGCTACTCTTTGCTGGAGCGGGTTGTGTTCGGGGATGGGTGTCTGCTTTTGGTATCCAAGCAAAATCCCTGACAGGAACCGGCACATCCGAACATTGAGGACGGTTTCATGAAAGACATCTAGATATAAGACTTTCAATCTTTGTTAAGATACCCAATTTGTGTTAGGGGATGGGTGCAGTGTAATGTTGGATACCCCTAGTGTAATGTTTTCTGGTGCTCCAAGAGGTGTCTGCTTCTGATATCCCTGCAAATTCCGATACAGGAAGCAGGGCAGCAGGAGCCAGAGGTGCAGCGCCTGCGAGAGGGACATGGAGAGGGAGGCGCGGCGTGGTTGCGGACCGAGGTGGAGGCCAAGAACTACACCGACTTGCGACGGCTGTGCGCCTTGTTGGGGCTGCCGCAGCAGCGCGACGGCAGAACCCTTCGGAAGGAGCAGCTGCTGGAATCCATAGTGGACTGCTTCTCATCGCAGGAGGGCTGGAGTAAGGGGATGGGCGTAGAGCGGTGTTGAACTGTGCGCACAAGCTCTTGGTGTTGTGCTTTTGGTATCCAAGCAAAATCCCTGACAGGAACCGGCGCATCCGAACATGGAGGACGGTTTCGTGATTTGTAGCTGTCTTGGAGTAAGGAAAAGATATCTAGATATAAGAATTCTAAGCTTTCTGAGACACTCAACCTTGGTTACAATGGTTTTGTGACGTGTAGATGTATTCGACCAAGCAAAAGACATCTTGATATAAGACTTTCAATCTTTGTTAAGACACCCAATCTGTGTTAGGGGATGGGTGCAGTGTATAGTTGAACTTAGTTGAGACTCTGTTTTCTTGTGGTCCAATAGGTGTCTGCTTCTGATATCCCTGCAAATTCCCATACAGGAAGCAGGGCAGCAGGAGTCAGAGGTGCAGCGCCTGCGAGAGGGACATGGAGAGGGAGGCGCGGCATGGTTGCGGACTGAGTTGGAGGCCAAGAGCACTTCCGACTTGCGGCAGCTGTGCGCGAAGTTGGAAGTGCCGCAGAGGCGCGACGGCAGAACCCTTCGGAAGGAGCAGCTGCTGGAATCCATAGTGGACTGCTTCTCATCGCAGGAGGGATGGAGTCAGGGGATGGGCGTAGAGCGGTGTTTAACTTTGCGCACAAGCTCTGGGTGTTCTGCTTTTGGTATCCAAGCAAAATCCCTGTGTTCTTGTGCTCCAATAGGTGTCTGCTTCTGATACCCCTGCAAATTCCCATACAGGAAGCAGGGCAGCAGGAGCCAGAGGCGCAGCGCCTGCGAGACGGACACCGGGAGGGAGGCGCGGCGTGGTTGCGGACCGAGTTGGAGGCCAAGAACTACACCGACTTGCGACGGCTGTGCGCTATGTTGGGGCTGCCGCAGAGGCGCGACGGCGGAACCCTTGGGAAGGAGCAGCTGCTGGAATCCATAGTGGACTGCTTCTCATCGCAGGAGGGCTGGAGTAAGGGGATGGGCATAGAGCGGTGTTGAACTTTGCACACAAGCTGTTTGTGTTGAAGTTAGACTCGATAGTGGAAAGCTGCGCTTTGCAGGAAGGGTTGTATTCGGGGATGGGTATCTGCTTTTGGTATCCATGCAAAGTCCCTGACAGGAACCGGGACATCCGAACGCTCAGGACGGTTGTGTGATTTGCAGCTGTATAGTTCAACTTAGTTGAGACTCTGTTTTCTTGCGGTCCAATAGGTGTCTGCTTCTGATATCCCTGTAAATTGAATGATACCCAAGTTGAATGATACCCAAGTTGAATGTATCTGCGCAAGCGTCACTGCGGAGGAACCGGTGACTGCGGAGTCACTGCGACGCTTGGCGCAGGAGCTGGGAGACCAAGCGCCGCCGACCCTCCGAGGTCGTCTGAGGGGTGTGCGTCTGAGGAACGCGGAGCCGTCCTTGGTGGATATAGCTTCGGAGTTGGGCCTACCTTGCGAGCATATGCATCGGAACAGGCTGGTGGATAGCATCGTTCTGTCGCTCTGTCCGCTGCGAGCGCCCGGGGCGGAAGATGATGTGAGGTATCACTTTTGGCGCTGGCTCGCAGATTGCCGGACCGTTCCTGCAGCAGACCTCGTAGCAAAGGCATCTGTCAGTTTTCCTGCGACACAGCTACGGCGATCCATGCTTAGTGTTTGCGAAGATGTTCCGTTGGAAAGTATTGAGAGGAGGCATGGAAGCGCGGCTGCGGAGCTGGAGCAATTGAGCCAGGCCACCGTTGCAGTCTTGCAACACCTTTCTGCTTTGAATGTTCAGTTTCCAGCTGAAGTGCCAGAGACTTGGACCACTGCGATGGAACAACTGCAAAGCATCAGATGGCCAGACCGTTTGTCTGGATTGCAGTGCAGTAGTTTGCTGGCTGTGTTGTTGGAGAATCGGCCGCTACAGCGCAGAGGCCGGGCGCGTGTGGACCGGAATTGTGTTGTGGGGTCTGATGTTTGTTTGGCTTTTGTTCGGTCGCAAACATATAGACTGTTTCCATCGAAAATATATTGGACGCAAGGTTGGTGGCAGTTGGTGGATTGCTGGGATCGCGCAGATCCAGTGGATGTAGCAGAGCGACTGTGGAGCCTGGCCACATGTCATCAAGCTGGACCAGCAGTGGAGCCAGACAGTGGCTTCCAGGATCGAGAAGATGTTTTGGAGGTGGGTCGGCAGAAAGCGTGGGACTTTTGCAAGGTTTATGTGGACGTTTGGTTCGGAGAAACAGTTTCTGATTTGATTGGTTGTTCGTTCGCTTGTTCTTTTTTCCCGTGTCTCTCTGTGCAGGCGGTCTTGGGCGCACTGAAGCACAAGCACAAGAGTCGTGGATATGACGAGGCAGACAAACTCTTGTTGCGCACTTTGATGCGGCGCTATGGCTGGGAAAGACATCTGGACGAGAGCGCAGCGTGCACGTGGATGGAAACCTTTGAAGCAGTCAAGAAGGCAGAGGATTGGTCTCGTTTTGCTTGGTTTCTGGTCGCGCACTTGTTGCACCCTGCTTGTCGTGAGAGTTTGCGTGCGTGGCACAATCCGGTGACCGTTTTGGAGTCGAGATTAGACCGCAGTGGTATTGCCCAGGAGGTGGTTACTTTGCACGATGACTTGTTGGCCTGGCAAGATCTCCACGGGTGTTCTTCGTTGCCCGAGAAGAAGCAGCATGCAGACTTGGCGAAGAGGGTGGGCAAGTATTTCAACAGCAGGGAGGCGCGTGTGAGGACCCTCCAGAAAGCTTATCCTCCAGACTTTGCGCCGCTGCCGGGTTACAGAGTTGAGTGTTTGTCCTTGGAAGGCGATTCCCTGCGTGGTGTACTCTGGCGGTCTGCAGCTGAACGTGCTCTGATGTTTTCGATCCCTGGATGGAGAGAAGAGGGCAAGGGCAAGGAGGAGTTTCATCCTTTGCAGGATTTCTGTAAGCATTGGTTGCCAGAAGCAGACGAGATGGAGCGTCTTGATTTGTTGACCAACACACAGCGCCCTGTCACGTGGAAGCTCGAGCAAGTCGCGAGACGATTGGACTGTTCACCCACGTTTTCTGGTGCGCAAGAAGCCTTAGCCAAGCGCTTACTGCGATCTTTCCCTGAGGATGCAGGTGACTGCCTACAGAAATTCTGCTGTAGATTGTGTCCAACCGACTGCGCAGATGCAAAGTCCTTCAAAGAGCACGTCGCACAGGAGCACGCTGGCGTCGGGCTGCAAGATACTCCCCGGATGCTGATTGAGTATCGCAAGAAGATTCTCGCTCTTGTTGAGCACGCAGGACCTCTTGTGTCTCGGTCGATGTCTTGGACGTATTTTGGTGTTTCACGTTGTAACTTTTTCCTGACAACTCCTGTGTGGACGCCGTTCTGCGGAAGCGCAACAAGGACTAGACATAAACAATCTTTTCGGTGCACAAAGGCCAGTCGCGAGCTGAAAAGCGAGAGTAGGCCGGTTTTTCTGTGAGACAGTCAAGTAGTCAATGACAAGCGTAGGGCATAGTGGTTGGTGAACTACATCAGTGAGGAGGGCCGAATGGAAGCTGCCTGTGTGGTGTGTGCTCGACGTTTTTGGGCGCATGAGTTGAACAAGGTGCTACTCTTCACCGATCCTGCCCAAGCAGAAGGGCTACCACAGCTCCCGGATGGAGTGGATGCAGCAGTCCGTCCATCCCAGCAGCATCGACTGTGCCGCCTGCTGGGAGTTCCACGCTATGCTGAGCGCTGGCCGCACATTGCTTTGGAGGAGTTGCAGAAGTCTGCCGTTGAACATCCTTTCCTCCCAGGTGAATATGTGCTCTTGCACCGGCGGCGCATGCCGGAAGACGCACGACAGCCGTCCCCCTGTGGCTTGGCAGAGCCTTGCCAGAGCTTCGTTCCCTCTCCGCGGGGACGAAGCGGCTCTTGCCCCTGGTGCGTGTGTGCATGCAGGTCACCGTCCTGCAGCCGGTGGTGCTTCCCCACGCCGAACGGCAGAAGGGCTTCATCGGGAACACCATCTTTTTGCCGCAAGCTAGTCCTTCCTCAGTCGAAGCAGTGTTGCCACCCCGCGCAGAGGACATGGCCGAGCACATCTTGTTCGTCTTGGTGGGCCACAACAGAGGCGACCTGCGATCGTCGGCCACGATGCAGGCACCTCGAGAGGAATACGTTGCCGCTGTCGAGCGCCTCCGACAAACTTCCAAGTACTACGCGGAGGCAGCGGTCGATCTCAGTCGATGGTCTGGCCAGGAGGAGACTATGTTTGAAGGCTGTGTCCTTGAGACGGACGCAGACAGCTATTTGGCGAGAGAGCTCTTACAACGGGGACCGGCGGACGCTCAAGGCCAAGAGAGCAGCCAGCAGGAGGAGGACGACGCTGGCATGGCGGAGGACACTGCGGAGTCCGGCGAGCGAGCACACGAAGACTCAGGACAGTTGCGTTTGGTCTGTGGGTTGGTAGGTCGTCGTCTCACATTTGAAACTACTGATTCTATATAGATAGACATATACAGATAGTGATCTCTCGTTGCTTGGCTAACTTCTTGGCACACTCCTGCTTGGTCAGGTCATCTGATTTCCAGCATAGTCGGCCTGAATGACACCTCGGACGATGAGAATCGTTGGTTGCGGGTTTGCCGAGATGTGGAGGATCTGTGTCGTCGAAAGCCTCGACAGTATGACACTGATGCAGAGCTGGTCGCGCGCAATCGGGCCAACAATGACCTGGGTGTGGGTGCTGCGCAGATGGAAGGAGCAAATCTACTGGGTCGAGAAGGCGCGCACGAACGTGGAGTCCTTCGTCGCATCCGCCAGGTCCAGACTGTGGCCGCGCATGGGGTGGAGACAGAGCGACAAGCGCAAGGGCAAATGTTTGAGGTCAGGCCACAGAAGTTGGCGGTGCCTTCTCGAGATACCCCTCTGAGCATGTTTGAGCCAGGGACCTGGGCAATGGCTTTTCCTACGTTGTTCCCTTGGGGTGACGGGGTGCCTTTCTTGAAGAGGGAGACGAGCATGGAAGCTTCTGAAGTGTTTCGTTATTTGCTCCTACGCGAAGAGCTCCAGTACAGCGGTGAGGGAGGTGTTGAAGATGAAGTCCCTGCACTACCTCGATGGAGTTTGTCGGCCGCTCGGGACGACGAGTGGTTGCGTCATCTTTTTTTGGGACCAGATTTCTGGTTAATGTCTGTTGTGGCTGAGTTGTTTGTTGGTTCGGACATCGTATAGTTTTGGGGTCTGTGGCAGTTACTATCGTTTAGGAATAGATATTTATAAGTTTTTTGGTCGCACCGACGCGTCGCTCACCCAAGGAGCAGTTGCTCCCGACGATGTATGATGTCCAACGTCGTTTGACGTTGATGCGGACCTCCAAGGCCTATGTCAAGAGGAGTGGCTTCGGCCGCCACTGCTCGGTCATAGCCTCCGTGACCTCCGAGCACCTCCTGAAGGCCATGGCGCTGCACGGGGAGAAAGCGGACATCCGCGAGTTGCTCCGCTCCCCGGACGTGGACGTGCCGCTCAAGCGCGCACTGGGTAGCGTCCTACAGGCCAGTTCCAACGTTTTGGGCACAGAAGGTCACCGATCTCAGATCCGTCTGCGAGGCCACGCAGCTGGGTGGCATTACGGCCCAAGTCGCATTTTTGTGACACCGAACTTGGCGGACTCGCGAGCTTCTCTGCTCTTGCAATTGCATCTGCAGGGGGGCTCGCGAGTCGAGGCCTATGAGGTCGACCTGGCCTGGGACCTCGAGGCACCAGCACTGCCCTCGCTGAGCGCAATGCGTCGCATTCTAGCTGCCGACCCAATCTCTCAAGCAAGGTTTTTTGACGTGATGATGACCTTGTTCTTTGAGGAGATATTGGGCACGTTGCCGCCGCTTACCCGCGCCAGCTTCCGAGGCGGTCTTGCCAGGGACTTCGAAGATGGTTTTGCTGCTTCCACTCATGCTGGTTGCTTTGGAGATGTGGCAGCCTTTTGTGGCCCTCTTGAGACGCAAGGACGCGGTTCCATGCACCCACATATTCTGGTTGTGCTTTTGGGGCACGACCTGGGCAATCGCCTTCGCTCTGTGTTGGCCACCGCAGCGCGTGGGGAACTGGTCATTGAGTTGGAACGCTGGAGTCGCGCCGTCCTACAAGCAGCCAGCCGTATTCGCTACGACAGCCAGCAAGCTCTCAGTCAGCAGTTAGAACAAGAAGTGTGTCCACTACCGCTGAGCGAAAATCAGCGCGCTGCATGTGGAAGGCAATACAGCGACGTGCCACTGAGGTCAACGGAGCCAGACGGCCACGAAGCGGCGACGGAGTCCAGTACACCTCTCCGACTGACCGGATGCTTCGCTTCACTACGTCCGCATTATGTCAGGAGGAGCAAGGCCGCTGCTTTCAACGCGGCCAGTTGGTCGGGCGCCCTCTGTCGCGACTATCGTCGCCTCGTCATACAGAATCACTTCCACAAGTGCACGAAGTCTTGTTTCAAGAAGACCCTCAGCGGGTGCAGATTGTTTTTTTGTGATAGACCTCGGACACTTTGTTCAGACGCTACGAACGGAATCACCACTGCAGTAACAGAACGAAATTTGGACGGGACACGAACCCGGCGCGGAGGACGTCGTTCTACGCAATCGGCGCAAGGTTCGAGTGTCGCCGTTTTCGTTTCACGACATCAGCATTGTAGCCTGGACGTGGTTATGCGGATCCGATGTCGTTAGTATTAGTTCGGTGTCGGACAGGGATAATAGTTTTGTTTTTGATATGCACCGGTCACCGAGCACGTTATCTGCACCGGTCACCGAGCATGTTATCTCTGAACTTAAGAGTTGTGTGTGACACGGCCATGCAACGTTGACTCAGGAACGCTGCGAAAGGCAAGCGGGGATGTCGATTTGGCTGCTTCCACGTCGAACTACACAAAGAAACTGAAGACTCTGGACTGGAGAAGGTGCGCGCGCGTTGTTTGAAGGGATGGCCTCGAGTTCAGCGTGCGCAGTTTATGATTCTACCACGTGAAAATGTTCCATTGGAGGAAGAGGAGGCCATGAAGAATGAGAACCCCCATGTCTTTCAACCTCAACGGGACCATCCCTTCGAAGGCATGTCGAATCCCATAGCTCAAGTCAGCATGCGGTGCAACGTCGACGTGAAATACTTGGGACGTGGTTTTTGCGATGCCGATTTGCAGAAACTGGCTGCCGATGAAGAGGATGGAGACGGACAGGGCGGAGACGCACAGCCACCAGACGGGGAGCGCAAAAAAAAGGACAAGAGCTTGGACGCGCGGTTGCACAGAGTTGTTGTGGATATGTTTCGGGACATGCAGGATGTGCAATTTTATACTGGGGAGTACGCGAGCAAGAAGTTCGAAGTGTCTCGATCTCTGCTACCGGAACTCTTTGCCGGCGTTCAGCGTCTTGAAGCTGAAGAGGCACAGCGTCAGGCAGCTGTGTCAGACGCAGGACGTTAGTTGACTGTTGGATTGTTTTGTCCCTTGGCAACACAGTTCCAAGGAAAAAGTAGAAGTTGTCTAAGCGAATTTACCGCCGTGCTTTTTTGGGGTCTAGGAATATTAATACCGGCGGTCAGGAGACATGCCGAGCGGCCATGACGCCGCAGTGGCGGAGGCGGCACCGGTGCCCGAGGCTGCGCCGTTGCCTGCAGAAGTGGCCAGGTTGCGTGCTTTGAGTTTATTGCGACGTCTTGCTTTTGGCATGCAGAGATGTGTTGCGAAGTCCAATGGGGAGATGGCCTACCAACTTTTGTTTCAGCAGGAGCAACTGGTCAGCTACAGTGGCTACAACATGTTCTTTCGGTTTGTGCCCTATGCCATGTTTCGTTGTCGCGCAGTGGCCTTGGACGCAGCCGCCGCCAGCGCGCCTCATTTGAAAGTTCTGCCCCTGGAGCCTGTGGAGGCTGAAGAGACTGACGCAATCCCTGTGCAAGAGGTTGCTGAGGTATTCGACGAGGAAGATTTGACGGAAAGTCGGATCCCGACAGGTGGCACGAGGGTTGTGTCGCACAATCAGAAGGATGATTACTTGCATCGTGGTGCTTCAGCCGTTATGACGTCTATGTCTTTGGTTATGTATTCTCGTTATGTGCGACGAGTTCCTCGTAGCCAAGCTGGTCGCGTTGATTACGTCAAATTTTTTCCCTTTGATGAACACTATGCACATTTCCAATTGTCAGTGCAGGACTGTTGCTTCTGTCTTTTTCTTTTTTTGGTTGCTGACGTGTTTTGTTGTTTCATGTTCAAAAACTGCGTTGATTGTGTTTCATGTTCAAAAACTGTGTTGATGGCGTGAAAATATTCCCTTTTCCCTTTGACGAACACTACGCACATTGTCCCTTGTCAGTGCAGGATTGTTGCTTCTGTTTTTTTCCTTGTTCGTTGCTGACGCGTTTAGGTGCTTCATTATTGACAAACATAATTCATATATAGTTGGGCTGCGGTCGCTTTCCTGTGGATCTATTTCTGCGCACGGATCCATCGCTCGGACATCTGCGCGCCCTGTGACAGGAGTTGCGAACAGCAGACGACAATGTTGTGGTGCCTGTGGGTTTGCGCCTTCCGGGGCAGAATGAACCTGAGAAATACGCTGCGTTTATGCTGGGTTTGTCGTTGCCCTTTCCACGTTGCCCGGGCGCACAGCATTGTGGAGAAGCTTGGCAATGTTTTCATTGTCATGAGATTGAAAAGTTGGAAGGGAAAGGTTTCCTGCGAGCCTGTTTCTCCAAGACCTGGAAACAATGGAAAGCTTGCACGCAGGTGCGCAAGGTGAATGCGCAGGAACGACTCTTGGCTGGCTTGAGTTTACCTTTTCTGCGTGACGTGGTGGGCTTACGCGAGTGGTGCGATGTGTCTTGTCTCGACGAGATGCTTCTGGATGGAGCAGACCCTGAGATCTCCGAAGAGATGCCTGCGCAGGAGCCCGCAGGAGAAGATGCAGAGGACCAGGGAATTCTGTTTCCGAGCGCCTCCACACCTTCGCCTCTGTCGAGTACCTATCATTTGATGTGGTGTCTCGGGAAGGTTTTCAAGGGCAAGCATGGTCGCTACGTGGACCTACCTCGGATACACGAAAGGATTTGTTGGTCTTTGGGAATCCCTTGTGGTTTTCACTACACACAGTTGACTCCGCTGGAGCACATGTCTCATGCGCAGCTGCAGTGGTTGGAGAGGTTCCGCCTGCACCACGAAGCACGACAGCTCAGCAGCAGCCAGAGGAGAGCCGAGCGCTTTGCTTACATGACCAAGGAAGAGGAGGGCGAAGACGTGGAGGAGTACTGGATACAGCACATGCTTTTTTAGGGGGGGCCAAGTCGTGGTAAAGTGTTTCTGTGTATGTAGCGTAGTTGTTTGACAAGCATCACTGGCAAGTGTCCAGCTGGATACAGCACATGCTTTTTTTTGGGGGGGGCCAAGTCGTGGTAAAG